TTTTAGGGTTTTGTGAAGAAAAATCAAACAAGATAATGCATGTAAAGTGGCTTGTTGACTATTTGTATTTAAGTAGCTTTTTTTCCCTAGTGCAAAATCTTAACCCAAAAGAGTATAGTGAAAAGAATTTAAAACACTTATTAGCTTCATCATCTCTGCAGACTTTTTTTTCTTTCAAAGCTTGTTTCTGTATTTGTACAATGAGAATACAATGTGTATTTTGTAGAGTAGATGCAGCTGAGATTTGGTTTACAACCAATGTATCCAACACAGAGGTTGGCTTGGGCTGAACATGATGTTGGCCCCCGGCTGGCCAGGATATCAGTCTTCTGTACACGCTGAGCAGAGTTTCTAATAATAGCTAGTCCCCCTGAACTGACTCCAGGCTAAGAGACCCAAAGTCTCTTGTGTACATAGAAATTGCCTAAGCTTGCTGTGGATTCCCATATGCAAGAATTTAATATAATTCATCATTTCCAACACTGCATAAAATTGGGTTTTGCAAAAGACTTTCATTCCATGAAAGGAAATACCTTGTAGGAAACATTTCTAGAGAACAGGAGAGAACATCTAGAAGCAAAGGTAGCTCAGATCTTCCTATTGCATCTATCCTAACAAACAACTCAACACAGGCCCACACAGGTCTCTGTGTGGCTTCAGAATGCTGAAGAGTTAATGGCAATTGGAATGACAATTAGATCCTGAATCCTCAAAGGGTCCAGAGTTTTCAGTACTTACATAGAATAAAGTGGTAGCATTTAAAATGTGTATCCCTAGAGGAATGTGCTACTAGAAAATTAATTATCTACTTTTCTGCCTCTCTCTCAGCCTCTCTGTACCATTTATGGTAACTTTGAAGTCCTACTCTCCCTACTTTTCTTTCTTGAGCTTTGTCCTTGGTTTCTGCTGGTACAATGCATTACTAGTATCAGGGAACAAAAATAAACAAAATAAGGCAATCCACAAAAAAAAAAAAATAGAAATTTCCCTTTGATCTGGAGATGCGGTTGGTCAGCACACTAGGGTTAGTGGAGTGGGCTGGAGAAACACTAATCTTTGAATAATCTGACTGTGGTTCAAGACCCGCTCTGTTCCTTATCTACTGGGGAGGCTGGCAGGTCTCCTAGCCAGCAGCAGGTATCCACTTTGCAAGTGGAAATAATGGTCACCATGGCAGCCTCCCAAGGTTCATTGTGAGGGTCAAATTAGACACATTGTGACCATCTCTGTAAAAACAACAACAACAAAAAACTAAACAGGGAACTCTTCCCCATTACTGTCCATGCCAACTGATTGGGAAATGTCTGACTCATTCCTCATCTCTGGCTGGTTGCATAGCCTTAATGATCACTGGGTTCATGTACCAGTTCAGTCTCTAAATTATTCTGTTCTTCTGCTTAATTTACAAACAAACTTTTGCCTCAAGTGGCAAAGGACACCTTACACAACAGGAAAGGACAGGTGTAGAGGTGCTAAGTGCAGGGATAGAGAGAAATCAGGTGCGATTCTGTTCTCTGTGAAGATACACTTACTTAGTCTCAAGCCAGTAAATTAAATGCTGAATCACAGGTACACCCCTTTTGATGTTAAGATACACCTGTTTACTTTTTCTATAATATCTATGTAATCATTTCGTTTTCTTTATCCTCAAACCTAGTAAACTGAAAGCTCTTCTTTCTTAGTGGCACAGCACCCTAATTTTCCAGTCACTACCAAGACCACCATCATTTCCCCACCCTCACAACTGTAAGTGATGTCATTTAATTCTTCCTCTTTCAAGGCATTAAGATTCTCTCTCTCCATTTTCCTGAGACAATATCTCTTAGGCATGCCTCCATTCTACATATAGACCTACAGTCAACTCTTACCACATTGCTAGGATAAGACAAAACTGTAGCCTTTTTCTTCCAGTTTCTCTCTACTTCAGCTCATCCTCTTTAGGGCTGCCAAACAGGTTTTCCTACCCTGATGAGCCCAACTCCACAAGGGCCATTCCTCCTGTTCTAGGTTAATACCTGGGGTATATAGTCTGGAGCACATGCTCACATGGCAGCTTGAAATGAACTCTCAGTGGCTAAGATGTACTTTGGGTATCAGTCCCTGGATTTTAATGAAGGCAGCTTGTTCTTGCAAAGAGATGAACTTGGATATTAGTCCCATCAGACATGTGGCAAAGGCCACCTTATACAACAGTAAAGGACAGGCACAGAGGTTAGTGACAGAGCATCTCAGTTCCTAACATTGTAGGATTAAAAAACAAAGCTGGAAGCCCTGTGGGACTGGTCTCCCTTGCTAATGGCACCTGCTTTGGCAGAAGTAATGAGATATTAACATTCTCAAAAGGACAGAAGATAAATAAACACTTTTTTAACAGACAAGTTGCAGCTCAGAAATTTTTCAGTTTTTCTCATTGCAAAATCAATACCCATCAGCAGTTTGAAATTAAAGGCAAGATTAGGCCTCAGTTTTATACATGCCTTATTGTATTCCAAAAGCTTTCTACTCAGTCAGATAAATCTTCTTTAAGAGGATTAGGAAACTTTCATTATCTTTATCTAACCTGAAATAACACTAAGTCTGAAAAATTAATCTATAGACTGGACAAAAGCCGAAAGCTGCTGGGAAGAAGGAGGACTATGGGGCTTCTCTGTCATTGAGTGGTGGGTTCTCCACATCCACCTCCTGGTAATTTCACTGGTTTCCAGAAGAAGAACACAGTGCCCTGTTGCTAACCAAGACAGAAGGGAACCTGGCTCCCTGCGCTTCTCTGTGGCCACTCCACAAACAGAAAGACCGACCTACCGATTGCTCCAGGAGCACTTTGCTGTCATCTTCTTCCCAACCCTACACCTACTGATGGTTTGCTGTTGGATTTCACAGGCAATGGGACGGCCAGAGTCACAGAGGACTGAAAACTGGGAAGAGCTGACCTCTGACTCAGGAGAAACTGTTGCTTTGCCTCTCCCATATGCTCACCTCTTCCTGAACAAGGCTGGAAGGCCCCCAGGGAATCACCATAGGCTTCTACATCAAGCCCAAGGAGTTGCCCCAAGGGCTCTACGCGAACCATGTCTGAACACTCTTTAGACGCTTTATGGTCTGTGCTGGCTTTAACATGCTTACACTCTCCGTCTTCTTCCCTGGGAACCCATAGCCTCACTCTGTTTGAGTCTGTTTCTGTACAATGCCTGACAGTTGTATTTTATTTCAGTGCCACATTTTCTGAATGTGAAGACAACTTTGCTACAGAGGCCATGCAAGTGCCACTGAGGTGTCACTTCCAATGCTGAGAATTTCAGCTCCTCTGGAACCAAGCCCAGGTGGGAGGTGGGTAGTAAGAACTTACATGTCCTTGTTTTCTGTACCCCTAGAAATTTTCAGCAGACATTCCAGCCCATCTCTGATGACCAATCTCACCTAGTGCCCTTGCCATAGTCTAAGAAGAAGTGTCAGACATGCCTGATGCCTTTATCTCCAGATGGCAGCCTGTCTTGTGGCCCCAAAGAAGTGATCATCAGCCAGCTATGGGGGACACATGGAGAGCAGAAGCGGCAGCAGCTATAGACACCTGTCCTATGGCAGGCTCTTGTGAGTGTCTAAAAGTATGTGGGAGTGAGAGGACCCCAACACAGGATGGAAGCCAATCTTCAGCAATATGGCTGTCCCCAGGATTGCTGGGGAATAGAAGCTAGAGCAGACAGGCCTTGGGTCCAACATCCATTGCAAATGGCTTATGGAGGCGGACCCGAATGCTGTGATAGCAAAGAACTTCTCTAGCCAAAGGAAAGAATGGGCATTGAGAATAGTGCAAGGGACTGAGCAAGAATAGATGCCAACCCTAAATCAATCACCTATCTCCATGACACCAACTGAAATGAGAAACATCACAGTTTTTTAAAAGCAGAGATGAGAAAATATCTTAGCTAAGCAAGGATAGCATACACATTTCACAATCTAAAAATATTTTTTAAAAATCTGTTGACTCTATGGCAGATGGGATCAGATAAAAGGAAGTTGCTTCAAAGAGATTCAAATACACATAACAACCCTTTCTGAGAGCTCAGTGTATGTCCCCACAATGTCAGCCAAAGACACTCTTAGAAAGGTCTATTTCAACCTCTCATTTGGTGGGCTGAGGGCTAGTCACTGGGTGACAGAATTCATCTGCGAGAAGTTCATTCCTACCACGAGATAGCACTTGACAGAAGGCGCTTCACACGGGGATGGTAGGTGGATCAGTTCAAAGCAAGTTCATCTGGGTGCTGCTTGTCTTCAAGTCTTAGAACTGTTACCTGCATGTATTTTTAGTTTTTAATATTTAATAGCTGAGATTATGACATCTCTTCAATTCCAGTTTTTAGCTACAAAGTATCATTTAAATTAAAACTATTTTCAAAAGCACATATGAAAACATGCCTGGGCTATCCTGATTCAGATTTTTAAAAAGAGAATGAGAGAGAATGCTGAGACATTCTCTCCCACCCCCTCCTTTAATGACATGAGTTGATTTCCAATATTGAAATATCATTCTGGCTAATATCCCTCTTGGCACTAGGCTCCATTGTACGGTTAAGATAAAGCATAAACACATGCCAATGCCAGGAGGACCCCATTGGCCAACACTCAGAACCCTGGCTAGAACATGTACAACCAGCAGCTAAGCAGAAACAGCCAAGTAACACAGCTTCACATCAATATCAGTGTTTTATTATGAAATAAGCCTCAGAAAGGTAATTAAAAGGCTTTGTAAACAGTTCTGCACATTTCAGTGTATCTTGCCTCAGCTCCAGAATGCTATGTTTCTGCAGAGAACTCAGACAACTTACTGATAAGAACATCAGGACTAGAAACAAAATTGAAAACTTTCAGAACATATTCAGTTCTCAGTCTATGGATTCAACAGTGGGACATGACTCACACCTGAGCAGAACAAAGACCAAGATCAATTCTCCCTTTCATCACTGAAAGGAAAGTCAACTCCAGGCCCAATTGTGACTTACCTTGCACTATAAGGTGGACCCGGGAAGTTTTGGGGTGATTGTCTGTTTGCACAGAGCAGGTATATGGGCCTTCATCATACACATCCACATTTTGGATCATGATGCTGTACTGGGTTGGTGTGTTGACCAGGATGATCACTCGAGGGTCTATGGACCACTTGTCATTCCCAGCATAGAGGATTGTGCTGCGGTTTAGCCAGGCCACCCTGGTGACCCGGTCATCTATGGTACACCTGTGAGGGACATGGGGAGAGGATGGGGGATGAGGGAGGAAGAAGGGAAGAGAGAAAGATGAGAAATTATAGTATACATGAAGTGGTGTACTTTAAGGAATAAATGAAACAACACAGTGCTGAAAGGAAACAATCAATTATTGATGAAACTTCCTAAAAATAAGGTAGGGGAAACGAATCATCCTGAAGAAGCGATGATATAAAATCACTTCTACTTGATTTAGGAACATATTATGTGAATATCTTTGCTGTGCATTTGCTTTCCCTCTTATTTCCCCCCTAGGCTTATATGAAAATTAGTTTATATTTCTTGAGCACATTTGCCACCTTGTGGGAGAAGTGGCCTAGAGGCACAGGGGAGTGAAAGTGGTTCAGTATTTTCAAATAGGTCACAGATAATCCACAAAGCAAATACTTAACTTGTAGTTAATCAAACCTTGAACTTACTTACCTACAACCCTCCCAGGTGTTAATAATCTCCTCACACCCCCTAAGCTGCTCAAAGCCTTCAAACAACAATTTATTACATGGATTGGTAAAATTCTTGTAAAGCCAACACTTTCTGAGGAAGTCATGGCTGCCTCTGAAGATTTCAGGGGAAGAAGAAGATTATCTGCAGTGTCCTTCTTCCTTCATGTACATTTCTCCCTGCTCCACTGAGAGCAACAAGGGCCTATTATCAAAGTCAAGAGCCTACCTCATCCACTCTCCCAACCATGTGAGGCTATAAATGCAAATAGAATTTGTTTGCTGCTGCGTGAGACCTGCAGGCAATCAACTTGCATGCAGAAATAAGTGTGGCTGGCAGTGGGTAAGAGCATTTGTAGGTGTGCCCTGGGAGCTGAAAACCTGAAAATAGACATGGGAGAAAATGGAATCCTTTACAAAAGTGGCTGTGCTCTGAAAGGCTGGTGTGTCCACCCACATGCCACATGCAATCACATCAGTTCTGATGTCCTGGCAGAGAGAGGACAGAAGTGAGTCTGGTAACTCCAGATGAGAACACAGGAACCAGAAGGCCTGGGCTCATTAAATCTGGCCTAGAACCTCACCTGCCACAGAGCTCCTCTAGCCAGGCTCAGGAGATGGAAAAACATGTAAGAGCAGGCACTGGCAGAGACCAACCTCAAATTAGCCTGAATGGCCTAGGGCTTCAGAGCACAAAAGAAATGAGCTTCCCTGAGAAGGAGAGAGCACCCACTTAAGGGAGGGCCTCTCTGCAGTTGGCAGGAAGGATGAAAATCATACTAGCTTCCAGTCACCAAGGTCTTTTTTGTGCCAGCCCACCTGTTCCTCAGCAGGTGCATGTGGTTGTTAAGTAGGGGTGGGGTGGTGCTTTCACAGTGTGGTAAGGAGAGATTGTTCTTTTCTAAAGTATTTATTTGCTGTTTTTTTTCAAACTACACAAGTAAAATAAGCATGTTTTAACATGTAAGCAATACAAAGTGAACAACACATGTGTATAATACAAAGACCATAAAGGTCAAGCTAATCATTCTCTCTCCATCAAATCCCAGCATCCTGAAGCTCTAATTTCAGTAGTAGCCTGTTACTTCTACTTATGGACATCTATTCACATGTACAAGACCAGTGTTGATTGGTTTTTACCTGAAATAGAATCATATGCTAATGTTGCTATGAAACCTTTTTTTTTTTCAATTAACCACCAGCATCCCTTTATACCAGAAATTATAGATTTAATTCTGTATCATTTCTAGGTAAGACTCATATCAGTTACATCAGTTAGGTGAGTTTTGGGGACCTAACTGCACTCTCTATCAGGACTTAGTAATTTAAGTGCACAGGTATGGCATGGTATAAGGCACATCTCCACACTCTGGGGCCCTAGCTTCATTTTTTGTCTAGGTTTGTTTATCCTATAGTAATTTTCCATTTTCCTTATTAAATTAAAATTCAAATGGGTCCTCTTTGCTTCTCACTTTCTAAAGCATTTCTTAGAGAAAATATGACAAATTCATCTATTTATTCTCAGTTCTAAATGACTGATTAGGGAAATGTGCAACCTTTCATAATAATCATTGCATTACATAAAGACTAAATCCCTGCTTAAATAACTCCTCCTGAAGAATGAAGATCTAATAGGATTCTAGGAATCAGCAAGTTTGGAGGTAGAAGGTAAACTGAGACAGAGTGAAGTAGTCATCTTCCCATCCCAGCAACCACAAATCCAAGTAACTTTGTGCTAACAAATATTCTTGCTTTTATTTTGGACAGTTATGTAATGCTTTGCACATTTGCAAACTGACAAAATATTTCTTTAAGTGGTAGTTTCAAAGGATTGATTTTTGCTCTGTAGAGAATATTCTCACTTTAAAATGTAAAAAGTCACAAAATTCCTTTATGTGTGTGTATTTAAATGAAATTTAAATATCATAGTGATTGATAAGTCATGATTATCCACTTTCAAAATTCATGAACAAGCTCTTCTTTAAAAGTCATAAATGTGCATTGTTCCTTTTTGAACTTGAACATTCATTATATGTTCCCAGCAGGATATAGTTTATGCTTGAAAGTCTTTTATTGATAATCTATCATATTTATTTGTAAGGTAACATAAATTGTTTATTGAAATTTAAATTTCTTTTATGTCCTGTCACCATATATTATTAATACTTGCTTTCAAAATGTTATCATTATTAGCATAGTATTGATAAAGCAATATAAATATACTACACATTTTGAGTAATAATTAAACATAGTTAACTTTTACTGTAAATACAGCTCTTAATTTCATGGGTAAAACCATAAATAAAAATAACACTTACTGCTAGAATGAGATAAACTTTAGCATCAATTCTATTTCTATCTTTGCTTTTAGAGAAACTTTGTTCACCCAAGCATGAGGATGGAAATAAAAAAATATGCATAGCAATATCATTCAATTATTTGAATTTTTTCCAAGATATATGTCAAAAATCACATAGTAATACAGCTTCAAAAATTATTTTAATGATCTCACAGCTGACAACTCAATCAGCCCCTCTTTCAATTTATTTTAAAGCAATACATTGGAAAATACCTGATTTGCAAAGGGGTTTGTAACCCAATATTAGATTCACTCAGTTCCCCAATATCTGGAAAGTACTCAGAAATGTTAGGAAAATCAAAACATTGTTATTATTATTGCTAAATAACACTGCCATCTGTAAAAACATCGCTCACTTCTGAGTTGTGGTTCCATGGTGAAGAACTCCCTGACTACCGTTACTGATGCAATAATTGTGTCCATTGCCTTCAGTAGTTCTCCGTCTCATTTTGTGAGACTTTCCCTCCAGAGTGACACCCTGTTGATGATAGTCAGGCAATGGAGGTGACAAAGACAGTAAGGGGATGGTGGCTCTGGGATGACTGTGAAGTGGGAAAGGTCAGAAGGGAGATTCAGAATTGCAATCTGACCTCAAGTACTTTTTCCCCTCCTGTCAGCTATTTGTCTGTCTAGATAGGATTCAGTCAGAAGGCAGGAGAAAAGTGTGATTCTTTCTTTCCCTTTCACCAGTTTTAAAATAATGGACTAGTTCACTCGAATGACACAAAGGTGAACAAAGAGAATGAGGTTTTTTTAGCCTCACTGTGAGTAGATAGAGTTAAACATGTGATGTTTAACTCTATGTATGGAGTTATTCTTATGTCAAAGTTGTTCCGATTTTTGCCAGTAGAAACCACCTCAAGATGGTTCCTGAGTCCATTTAACATGACCCCAGCAGACCTCGACAACTTTCTTTCTGACATATCTAAGTGTTGTTTAAACTTATCTTGATCTTAAGTGCTTTCTTGAGCAGAGCAGTTTTAGGAAATTGCCATTGTCTTTGTATGTGTCCAACAACTGCAGTTAGAGTGTGCATGGAACCAGTGTTCTAGTAGGGGACGCAGACTTTGAAACACATCAGTCTAAATCTACCTGCCCAAGGCAGAACACATTCTGAAAGACCTGGCCACCGATCCCTTGAAAAGACCGTGTGTCCCTTGGGTAAATATATTACAGGCAGACAGCCATGGCCTAATTTACTTACTCTTCAACCTGGGTCTTATTAGTGAACATGCAGTGAAATAAAAGAAGTAGCTGTGTAAAGGCCATCTCTCTGTAGAGCAGAGATGGTTCATAAACTTTGTTCAGTTCCCAGACCTAAAAGCAACAAAGAAACTCAGTGGAAGAACAATGGTAGTTGTAGAGAATTTCTTTCTTCAAGATGTTTCAGGGCTTCTTGCTTTCTTCTATCGCAATAGGGCTCTTCCTAGGTCCTCTGAACAGCAGGGCAAAGAACTCGGGGAAGGACTTAAAAAGTCTACCCAAGAGTTCTTCCAAACCAGAGCTCCTTCCCTGCTGTTTGTGGCAATGTCCTGGACTATCCTTAACAAGAAGCATGTAGGAGAACATTATTGATGTTAAATAAGGGAAAACCAAGAGGCAAGTTGAGGAAGGTTAATGACAACTTTCTGATCTCTTGAAAACTCTTTCAGACATTTAAAATCCTTACACTCCAAGTCAGCCCTACCTACTGCTCCCTGATAAAATATAACTCATTGCAACTCTATTACATATAACTTCTAAAATTGTGTATTGCTTGTGCTGCTCTAGGAATAGTTGTCAGAACTTTACGATATTAAATCATTCATTCCACATTAACTACCCTTTGAGAAATGCTCTCTATTGTCCACATTTTACAGACAAGGAAGCTGAAGCGCAGAGATTTAGTAGCTATCCTAAAACCAAAGCTAGCACTCTCAGAGTTCCTCTACTTAAAAGCTATTAATGACAATTTGAGAAATAAGATCAGCAGGATTTGGCTAGCTTTATTCAGTTTTTGTCAAATTTATGGTTCTTGTTTAATTTTCTTATAAATGACAAAATAGCCTACAATAAAAAGAAAGCTATTTAGAAGTGATTTTTACACATCCTTAAACCACCTGTAGCTTCACGTGAGGGGAAAAAGGTAAAAATTAGGATCGGGAATAGCAAAGGAATGCTCAAACGACTTGGA